GGAGAAGGCAAAAAGAGCAAGCATAATCAGTTCAGTGATTAATAATTGGGCAAAATAATAGGGTTCAAGCATTTTTTGTTGTTAAATAATCACCTGTAGGCAGTAAGTTAGCAGAGGGGGGGGGAGATAGTTTTCTGTGGGAGGAAGTTTTATTTAAACAAATTGCTTGACCCACCCCAATGAGATCGATAGCATCTATTAATTGCTACTGGTTCATCCAGACTAGAAATTTTATGCAGTGTGTATAATTGCACTAAGATCTTTGCATATATATTTTTCTTGACGGAAATGAAATTGAAAGGAAATGAAACTTGTCTGGAAGTTTCACTGATTGCCACTCTTTAAAGTGCAAGGGACCAAAACCATTTCAGAATGAAATTCGTTTTGTTCAAATAAAATTATGCAGAGGCAGTGAAGTGAAAAGAGGACTAATTTGCTGAAGGTTCAAGAAAGAGAGATTTAGCTTTGGGGTAAAAGCTATACTGTTTTAAAATATTTACTATCAGAGCAATGGATGGAATTGCTTTGACGTGATTGCAGCAAAGAGTTGGATGAATTGGATTGCTTGGCAATTCCAGGTAGCAGCAGACTGGAAAATGGGTTTTGCATAAACATGGAAGTGTGCTTCCTTTGCAGAAATATAGAGATACACAATTTTACCAACACTGTCTATGGTAATGTCTCTCCTGTAGATAAGAGAAGCCAGTCTTTAGAGAGTATGTGTGACAATTTTCCCCTGTATCTTTGTCCAACCTGAATATGTTGCTTATATATGCAACCCACGGGAGGTATTCAAGTCCAGACTTCTGTAATTCTGACAAATACTGTCGTGTGTGTGTGTGCAACATGGCAGTGTATGCAAGCCAACCTGTGTGAAAGTCAGGTGGACTGGAATCTTAGTGTACCCTGAGGAGTGCCTGCATTTGTATTGCCCTAAAAGCCATCCAGGGGCACATTTTTGAAGGAGCTTTATTTCCCTGTGTCCTCCATCTTATTTCCTCCATGGAGGTGAGAAATCCCATTTTGACAATGGGTGCCATTGGGAGCTGTTGCTATTCCTATTCCTTTTCCTGGGTGCTGGTAGCAGAAGGACAAATCGTGCTTGTCACATGGATCGGGTGCCTTAAGGTGCTTTCCGATGTGGTGCTGCTGGTCTTAATTTAGAAATCTGTTCAAATGGGAAGAAAACATAAAGGAGCTTTTCTTGCAGTTCATATTTGGCTTTTACATAGACCCGCCTGAAAGAAAAACGATCTAGCACTTCAGCCTGACCAGATAGCCTCTGGACTTAATGTGAAGGTCCAATAGCTTTTTCTAAGATAATTTATTTTCCTTCCCTTTAACTCACTGATTTTACAGGGAAGGGAATTGGGGCAGGGGTGTGTTAACCCAAGGACAGGATCACTTTTAAATTGTAGTTTTTATAAGATGCTATAAACTTGTATCTTTTTACCATTACAGTGTGGTGTCTTTTCCTTTTTGTCTCTGTGTGTGTTCTATTTCGGTAATTGGAATAAACTCGGCTTGCTTTCCCTCCCAAACCTTAGCTTCACTGCTTCTCCACACCATTAGTTTGGGGGTTACATTTTCTTTGACCAGTTTGTTTTATTTTGCCACGTACTTGGATGAAGGACTTGCAGTGGAACAGAGGCGCAGAGAATATGGCACAATACTGCCTTCATCAGATTTGAATGTTCTTCCAGTTTTCTGAAGTTGCATTCCAGTGGTGGACCAGGTCATAGCCAGAGGGCTGGGGCTGACTTTAAATGATAATTAAGTTGCTGATCCATACTGACCATATCTCTGTCAATAGCTGTCTGGGCTTTCATTTAGAAATCTCTCTGTTTTAGATCTAGGACACGGGTGTCAAACATGTGGCGTGACGTTGCTCTCATATGACATTTCATTATGTTTTTCCCCTTTGTGGAGCTGGGTTGGGCATGGTTTGTGTGTGATGCATCTGGCCGGCAGGCTGCCAGTTTGACACCCCTGATCTAGGAGAATATGCCTTCCTAATAAAAAAAGGGGGAAAAAACCTCAGGGTTCGCGTTACTGTATGTGTAGCAGCTTGCCATGATGGCTGCTCAGAATATCGCTATAGGTGTGCTTTGGGAAAGACTTAGGTTTTATGTTGACCGTGCCCAGATCAGTGATTGTGCTGGAAGCGAAACGTCTGGTTCCTAAATTCCCAGGTTGAGGGTTCCAAAAATACCCAATTTCCAACCTTGGGTATATTAATGGACTACAGAAACTTTAAACCACCTAACTTCATTGGAAGGAAGGGGTGTTTGCTCCTGTTGGGTATTTTACTTTGGTTGAATTAGTCCTGTCTGTCTGCCATTAAGACATCACTAAATTAGTCCAATGTGAAATTGGATTGCTGGAAGAATACAAGGAGAAACCCAATGCTAAAATATGCAGCTTTGACAGTGTTGTGTGAATCTGAAGCTACTGTGTCCATTCTTTAGGGATAACAACAGCAGAATGGGTGGCGGACAAGATTGATTGTGGGCCCGAAGTTTGAAATGATCCCTATTTGATTTACTTTTTTATTAGATATTTTTATCCTGCCTTTCATTTATGGGTAACTGAAGGTGAACATAGCTAATACTGGCCCCTATGTTCCTCAGAACAGCAACTCTGTGAGGTAGGTTGAGCTGAGAGAGTGATTGGCCCAAAGCCATCCATCTGATTTTCAGGCCTAAGGCAGGACTAGAACGCACAATCTCCTGGTATATGCGGACGATACTCAATTGTATCTGTCCGCCCCGTGCCAACTCAGCGAAGCAGTGGAAGTGAT